GATTTTTTTAAAAAAATAAAAGACCTTTTCGAGAGACGTAATGGTGCAAATCTAAAACTAGGAGTTAATATCGCAAGGAAAGTGCTGCCTTTTTGGCATATGAACTGAATGCAAAAATTTATACTTCTAGATAATTCTCGGTTATATCCCCAATGTTTGCTGCACAAATGTGCATAGTTTCTTGTTCATCATTTAAGCCCGTTCACAAACTCATTCTTAAATTGTGTGCACGGAATACGAGTAAATAGCCAACATGAAAATGAAGCCATTGCGTCAAAAGTGGATATTAAAGTATATTAACCTATTAGCTGCCAATGCACACTACTTTAGAATTAACTCTGGCTAACGCCAGACCAATTTACACTGTATAACGCCAGACGATTTTACTTGTTAGTGGCAGAGTACTGTCAGTAAATGGCGGTTAACAAACACATCTGCCAATGTCTCTTTTTAACCCATTAGCAGGCAATGCACCCTGCCTTAGTATTCTTTAGTACCTCTTCAGAATTTGGTCAGAGTCAATGTGAGTAAAATACATCTTGTATTCAAACGCTTTCTCCACAAAGTTTCGTTTGAATACAGCGCAGAGTAGGAATATCAGTTATTTTGAATTTTTCAAAATATCGGGTTTTTACTCGCACGCACGCGCCACGTTTATAGCTCGTATATAGCTTTATTATATGCGAGCGTGGGCATTTGCGCGCAGGCTTTTCAATTATGGCCTCGGCTTGAAACCAGGCTGGTCAAATAGACGTTAGGGATTGGGAGAATTTTTTTGCAGTTATACCTAATTAGGGCGTTAATTTTCCGGATATACAGCCGGGATCCCGGCCCGGATATGCAGTCGGCGTGAAACTTTTTTCCATTTGATCACATCACTTCGTACATAAACTAAAACTGAAAAACGCCTCTGCCGAGGAGAGTGTTTTGGGCATAAGAAACAGGAAACGGGGGCACTATTGATCAAAGAACGAAATGGGCGTTTTTTTTACCAACTTTAAGCCAACATAAGAAACTGTGGATGTTGCACAGAATCTATAAAGTGAAAGAACGGGGGCAGTATTATATAATTGGATCCGGGAAGGAAATACCTAAGTGTTTGTTACGAAACTTAAGCCAATATATACAAATGCTTTCAAAGACAAAGTATAAGCCTGCTAATTCCAAATTCAAAATATGCGCTTCAAAACTTCTAACTGACTTTAGATGAACTAGTAAGACTGATCATGGGGAGCTAGGCAGCCCAGTTAGCTACATAGCTACATGTATCTATAAACCTAGAATATTGGCCAACATGTACAACTCCAAAAATTAGTCCTTGGCTTAGCTCTGAATTAAATTAAACCTACTGGCATGATAAGGTATAATCCCTCAAGTTTATGAAGCCAATTTATATAATATGTAAGACTTGTTTTATTGTTTTGTCTGGCTTCTTGAAAAAATCATTTTATAGACCAAAAGTCTTAAATGCTATATATGTGTATTCAAAGTGCAAGCCAGTGCGCAGGCTGAAACCAAGCAACTGTAGATATTAAGCAATATACGGTAATTACAAAGCATTTTGTCTTTCATCTTTAACTCCTACGCAAAATTGGGACTGGCTCCTTTGCCAACGCGTGGGTGTAAGTATGCGTCATTGCAACATAAGTACATACGTGTCGCGTCGCATTCTGCGACAAACATAATAACATATATATAAAACACTCGCACACAACACACGACTTCAAACTCAAGTCTTCGCTGGCACGAAGCTTAACTGAACATAACCGTAACCTTTTTTGTATATTCTAATCCAGTTTTTTATAAACAAATGGCCAATTGTTTGTGTTTTGCCAATAATACTTCGTCTTCGGATCTCAACAGCTCTGAATCTCGTAAGCTGTGCGGTCGAATGGCATTCAGATCGAGTCGAAGAACATCGCTCGATATTTGTGGCCACGGTTTTAAAATCAAGACATTTATTCAGCCAAGATTCTGCTCGCAGTGTCATGCATTTATTTGGTAAGTTCATAGCAAGTATTTTATTGGAAATGATTAATTAATTTAAGGCCAAGACGAAATCTCATATTTTTATGTATAACTATAGCGTTTGCGGTATAAATTAAATAGCTTTTAATTTTACATATTGAAACAAAATATGGAAGTCATGTAGTGAAGCTGGGATGTAAAACAACTGTGCACCGAACAAAGCGGCGTTTGAAAACGTTACTGGCTATATCAGTGATAATGCCATGTAAAACTACCCAGAGATCAAACTTCATGCAGTTCCATCATGCCAAAGATATTACATGCATTACATGTATACATGTATAATTATATTTCACATTATATACCTTGGCTTAATATTATTTTACGTTGCTGCATTTTATATTGTGATTGTAGCCATCTCCAAACCCTTCAAATTTTTGTTTATGTTCACAAAATACATTGCATGATTTCTAAGTTTGTAACTGTCGACTTTGTATTGAATCTCGAATTTTTGCTTTCCAATTTCAATCACTTGGAATAATTACTCGCCAACACATTGATCAAATATGTAGTTTCAGAGAAAATAACGCGGTCACCGTTGGAAACTAGCTGATATCCAATGAAGACAACGAACACAACATGTACATATCTTGATGGTCTGCGGTTTTGCTTTTCTGAATTTGACATGCATAATCATAATCAAGCAAAGGCATACGTATTAATCATTAGGTCAATATAAAACTGTCTTATATGCGCTCATAAAAACTGCTGAGGACTCTGAATTGCGAGGATGAACTAAAGACATAACATGAAAAACTTTTAAAGGTTTAAAAATTATAGAAAAATTATAAAATTTCAGTGACAGATGTTCTTTTCAGATGTGCTGATGCTATTATTTGATTTTCTATGCATGATATACGGTCAATTAATCTTCGAGTATGGAGCTCAAATTAGCTAGCTTGATTCAAGAATAATGGCTTTGCTATATATAATTGCAGTAGGCCTATTATAACATAGACAATCGAGAGGAATGCTGGAATGCGACACTGCAAACGCCACTATGTCTATATCGAACCAGCTATCATAATTTGCGAGACTGCGACGTCCGTGATGTGGACCGTAGCTATATATAAGTTATAACTAACCAAGAAGGCAGTTTAGCACAAGAGGAAATAATCCTCTTTACGTGTTTTAAATGAAATTTCAGACAACATGTCTCCGAAATGAAAACATGCATATATGCCGTAGCTGTTTAATTTCCTGTATTAAATTTTGTTCCTGGTTACAGCACTCAGTACTGAAGAAATGTATGAAAATTATGTTGAATGTTGTCGAAGTATCCATGCACTCAAAACTGACCCCTGCAGCATATAAACCGCGATTCCTTATGCTAAATATTGCTCTTTGTTTCGGTAGTCTGATTCTCTGACAACAGGTCAGTTACTGCCATTAAATGTGTATGTTTAATTAAATGTATATGATTATATATTTGGCGAAGATAACAGCCAGACTGCCAAGCCCAAGGTATATAGATGCAAGTACAACAAGCCAGCCATGAATGTTATATCAGGTCGAAATAAGTGTCGCAAAACTGATCACCTGACGTGAGTCTATCGTACTATCCCGTCATGCATCCCGACGGAAATGCTTCTTCCCAATTCCATGAGAATTGATTCGATTAAATCGATTCCCCAGTAACAAAGATGTTAAAAACGATTATTAATGTATTGCTGTGTCATGGTTTTCGGTTTTCAACCTTATTTACATTGTATATCAGCCCTGCATGGTATCCTGCGCCCTGTCTTAGTCGACCAGTGAACTCAATTCGAAGAAACCGAAATTACTGTATATATTATATCAATAAAGTAACTTCATTTAAACTGCATAGCTGCCCCCAGAGAACAATGGCCAGGCTATTACAGTATATTGATCCAATATTATCACTATATCATGGAAATAGCCTATACTCTATAGCACTAAATTTGTGTTTGTACGATAGGTGAAAGCACTTTTGTCACATGAAAGTAAAAAAAAGGTTTCTGTTTAGATCTGTTTTGCAGTGGGCCAAGCATACAAATCAAAGCTCGAATTAATAAAATATAATATGGGAAACTGGAAAAGGATAGATTAAAAACGTTATCTTAATTAACGCTTGTCTCTCAAATGAACATCTGTCTCGACATGCTTTGTGCCGCGGACGTTCCGTTCTCGTCTCTTTCGCCTAATCATATAAAGAGAAAATATCTATCTAGATAAACCTAGTATATATAAAGTTACATTAGTTCAGTTTTCCGGGTAATTGCGTATGCATAGGCCTCATAAAACATTTCGAGGATCATGTTTATCCGATTTATACGCCACTATAGTTCACGTCGAAATAAGATATCAAATGAAATAGTGAACAATGAAACAATTCGTGCCACTCAGGTGATTTTCCCGGCTTTTCAACTACATATGAACAGGCCCTGAGGATCCCCTAATTTAGTGAGAGAGCATGTATACATCACATGCAATGCATGCACGTACTTGCAAGTATGATCGATGCATGGAGTGGGCGGATAGAAAAAATAGAGCGTTTCCGATCGTAAATTATAGTCCTAATGCTCATATCTGGGGGCAAATATTTTACCTTATCTTTTTATATGGTCTATATCAAACATGATATTTCCTGTCTTCAACGACTTCTTTGAGATTGTCTGGGGAAAATATATGCAAATCACTCCAACGCCTACGAAGCCTAATCACATATTGACTTTAAATTAGAGATCTCAAGCATGGCTGTGGGGGACAGCACCGTAATGACGACAGCAAAAAACTCGTTAAAATAAATTATTCACACGAAAGTCTTGTCTTATTTCAATCATCATAGAAATTAAAAACATTTCTTTGTGGCGCGCAGGCTATAAATAAAATTGCTTTGTTTTCTGAAAACCACAACTATCTGTCTATCTCAGGCAAAGATTTAGATCCTCTTGTGGTTAAGATAATCAGTGCAGTGTTTCGTATATAGTGTCATGAAAACAGCTCCCACAGGATTTGCCTGCTAAACTTGATTCTTTTCTCAGGATTTTCCTGCTAAACTTGATTCGATTCCTATACCCTGTCATATTTTTTGATAGGAAACACAAAAGTAAAGAAAAGAAATTTTAGCATTCATATATATCCTACGGGTTGCACTTGGCACCTCAATCGTATGACTAAGCCGGAAACTTCACTATAAATCAAAAGATTATTCAAGTAAATCTCATGCAATTTTAGCAATACATGAAATAGCCAATCATATTACTTTACTTTGCTTATTCGATGATGCTACCAGATACGCGTGCATGAGAGGTATATCAATCTAGCCCAAGGAGTTGATGAAAATTAATTCAGTCCTGGATTGGATTTTAACTTGACTTTATGGTTGCTCGATACAGATTTTTATAATGGAAAGTTGCGATTTAAATCCGTATTTTTGGACAAATATTATACATGTTTAAAAACAAAAGGCATCTTACTTATATAAAATAACAAGAATTTAATTTTAAAAAATTCACAAAATTTGCGAGTTTGATATTTTGGCTTCAAAGTCATCTAACTCGTGAAAAACGACATCGATGCATGACCTCTAAATTTTATTTCGTAAAATAATTCCTCGTAGTATACTCAATTATTTAGACAATTTAAAAAAAATAATTGTTGAGCTAAAATTTTACATAATCCACTTTTTTATGCTTGTGATGTTACTCTGAGTGTATATCCACACTGGGCAAGCTTGAAAAATATGCCCGACCACGGTGGGAATCGAACCTACGATTCCCATCGTGGTCAGGCATATTTTCAAGCTTGCCCGGTATGGATATACACTCAGAGTAACACTACAAGCATCATATTCACCTGACTGAGTACATTACACCAACACAGAAAAAATCATGATTATTATTAGATAACATTGATATCGAAGGAACTAGATTCTGTTCCGAAATATCACATACTCGAACCGACCAGACCGCGTAGGCGCGTAGCTCAGTTGGCAGAGCATTGGGCTAGTATTCCAAAGGTCGTAGGTTCGATTCCCACCGTGGTCAGGCATATTTTTCAAGCTTGCCCGGTGTGGATATACACTCAGAGTAACATCACAAGCATCATATTCACCTGAGTGCATTACACCAACACAGAAAAATCATGATTATTATTAGATAACATTGATATCGAAGGAACTAGATTCTGTTCCGAAATATCACATACTCGAACCGACCAGACCGCGTAGCTCAGTTGGCAGAGCATTGGGCTAGTATTCCAAAGGTCGTAGGTTCGATTCCCACCGTGGTCAGGCATATTTTTCAAGCTTGCCCGGTGTGGATATACACTCAGAGTAACATCACAAGCATCATATTCACCTGAGTACATTACACCAACACAGAAAAAATCATGATTATTATTAGATAACATTGATATCGAAGGAACTAGATTCTGTTCCGAAATATCACATACTCGAACCGACCAGACAGCATAGGCACGTAGCTCAGTTGGCAGAGCATTGGGCTAGTATTCCAAAGGTCGTAGGTTCGATCCCCGCCCTGGTCAGGCATATTTTTCAAGCTTGCC